GAAAAGTCATTTACAATTAAAATATGATAGAAACAAAGAAAAAAGTTGGGAACGCCCACGGCGGGATTCGAACCCCCGACAGTGGGACAAAGTTTGGTTCGATCATATCTTTTCAATAAATGCACGCATCAAGATTAATTCTGAATACATATTTAGAATTCTCATAAGACACACTATAAACCCTGTAAATCAAAAAGAAAAATATTGAAAAACAAAAAAGTTGAAAAATGAGACTTTTTGAATTCACTTCCGTTTGCGACCGGAAGTGCCGACGACGAAAAATAAAGATCGTTGCCCATAATGGAGTTCGATGTTCTATCACCTCAGTGAGTTTCACTTTCATATCTTTAGCCGTTCTCTAGAAAAATGCTGGACAAAATGCCTTTAAAAAAAAACAAAAATCCCCAAAAATCGCGAACTAAAGTGAATTTCGAAAAAATAAAAAACACGTCTGGAGATATTCTCATGATGCATCATCCCTGTGAAAATCTTTTAAATCCATCCACGCACAGCGGAGATATCGCTCTAACTATGAAAAAAAGAATAATAATAATAATAATAAAAAACAGACGAATAACAATAAGGTCTTCCGAAGGAAGTCGGAAGACCTTAATAAGAAACAGTAGAATCACTAGAAGGTCTTCCGTGAAGACGGAAGACCTTAATAATAAGAAACAGTAGAATCACTAGAAGGTCTTCCGTGAAGACGGAAGACCTTAACAATAAATTAAACCAAATTGTCAGAAATTACCCAATATGAGGATTGGTATTTTGCCACTTGTTTAGAACTTAAAAAGCATAATAAATTGTATTGGCTTACTTGCAATTTTTCAACAATCACATGAATATTTGAATATTCATGTTTCTTTAATTATGTAAGTTTAATAGTTTCTCTTTAATTAATAAAAGGCAGATTACAAGTATTTAAATTCAAACAGACTCTATTTGAGTATCATTCATATACATTTTGAGCCTTCAGTAAGTTGTTTGCTTTCTGCCAATTTCAAATTAAACTGGCGCAATATTATAAAAATACTGACAGATGTTATACAAGATACTCCAGGCTTTCTGCCAATTTCAAATTAAACTGGCGCAATATTATAAAAATACTGACAGATGTTATACAAGATACTCCATAAAGAAGTTTGAGAAACTAAAAGATGCTGGAATTTACTCTTATCTCACCTGTGACCTCCTAAAATTAAACAATTGCCTTCTTTTTTCGCTTTGATTTCAGGTAAGTTAAATCCCCCCTTTCAAAATAGTTTCTACGTCACTGCTATGACTGCGATTTTCGTGAGTAAGAAATGATTTATGAACATGAATAAACCAACCTGCATTAAATAATGGAGCGTTGAATTTATGAAATATTCATTGTTTATCATTTTTTGTACTTAAAGTGATAAAAGATATAATACGTTTTCTGTTCTGTTTTCCTTTCCTCGTTTTAGAAACACCCCTCCAGAACCCCCCTTTTCATAATTTTATCCATTTCAAAACTGCCACTAGGATGAAAATTGGGGGGAGGTGGATAGGGTTAAACGATTGGGTACTAGAAACACTCGTATAATTACTTTATATCCTGAACTTGAAAATGAATTTATTAATCTTTCCTCGACTGACACCCGCCTCCTCCCAGACTGTTTTCAGTGGATACATATCCTAACATTAAAAAAAAAACAACTTATTATCAAAATAAATAAAACTCTGTCTGCAATAAGTTTGACAAAATTTCATAGCGCCCTCCCCCCAATTTTAGTGATTTGATGTTAATTTTAAGCCGGATAATTTAACCAAAACATATATATCGTGGAGGGTCCTATATCGCAGGGGTACCTAAATCGGTGGCATATCTTTTTGAGCTGATGATTTTTTAATGGAAATATTCTGTATTCTATATTTAAGTAAAAAAAAAATATTACTTACGATAATGACAAATATTTTTACTTTCTTGATAAAGAAAGGTTGTTCCCCCTCCCCCACACTGAAATAGCTTCAAATGGGCCTGCTATTTGTTTACTCAAGCTAAGTTTTTTTTTCTTTCTTACATTCAAATGTTACTAATATTTTAAAATAGGTCTTCTTTCTTTCATGTGCAATAATGCTCCACAACAACAAAGAAAAATGATCATACATGACTTTCTTCTTTCTATATTTACATACTGTACCTGTCACTATTAACCCATTAATACTAAAGAGTTCCAACTAGGGGAGATAACAATTTACCTTCAGCAAATTAGTAACAAGGGGCTGAAATAAGCAAAAGGAAGTTATATGAAGTATCTAAATCAGTTATTCCTATTCTAAAAATATATTAGATTAAGAATCTTATTTTTTCATTTAAATATCATAGAAATAATCCATAAGTATGGTAATAGACTTTCATTTAAAATATGTGAAATTGTAGCAAAGTATGGTATTTCAAAGTTAATTTACAACATGTAGATATTATTTCCCAAGCTCAATATTTTAATACAGAGTAGACCTTAGATCATTCTTAAAGTAATAATTAATTTAATTTAGTTTTAGCCTTGGTCTTGAGAGAAACGAGCATCTAAAAATGGCTAAAAATCATACTCAGTGATTTAGGATCTATAAATACACGTAGAAGTGTTAAAATAAAATATTCATTTAAATAAAATTTATCCTCATCCTCAATAATTGTGTTAATTGGACCATTGCTTTGAAAATGAAACAAAATATGAAAATAAAATGATGACAAAAGGTAACTTTTTGACTTGATCAATTTATATAGATTTTCCATTAAATTTTGTGTCATTTCCGTCAAATATACAAATGAGCTGTTCCTAAAAATAGACGCAGGGTTCGACATTTTTATGTAGATATTCTGACTTCTATTTTTATGTAGAAAATTTTAAGCCACTGAAAACTCCCAAGTTGCAACCTTCCATTTGGACAATTTTTTGAATTTTGCATGGTTTTCCCGCGGACTGGCTCTTAATTGATATATAAGTTGTAAACATGAAAACAGTAAACAAAGAAGGCATCATAGTATAGCTTTGACATAGATCGTATGTCATGGTGTATACAACTTCATCGATAATGTACATTGTTTCTGATTACATTCTTAACATAATGATTACAGGCGAGACTGGAATACAAAACTGTCTGCTGTATTCAAAGAGGACTTCAAACTGCCGGATAAATTCCTGGAGTCCGAATTGACAATCAAGGATCTACTGAGCCAACGCACGGGGTTTAGTCCCGCGGATGTATACACGGGGCTACCGAAAATAGGCCGGGATGAATTTGTAAAGTAAGATATATTACAAAATTATTTTCAATCGTAAAAAATTGTAGTAATTAAAAAGAAATGTTTTCAGTTTTTTCTTTGGAATTTTTTTTATTTCTTAATGATAAATACCCTTAAATTCGGAAACAGATACTTGAATAATTATGTGATTTCAGGAGATTAAAGTATTTACCAAAAAGTGCTTCTTTTCGGGATACATGGATCTTCAACGACCTTCTGTACGCGATAGCTGGTCACGTGGCGGAAGTGTGGACGGGCAAAGAATATGAACAGCTGATTGATGAGAAACTTCTGCGGGCTCTAGGAATGTTTCAGGCTGTTTGTGGAACCAATATTTATCCAAACAGCTCTCAGTCTGAGTACGCACTCCCATATCATTCCGCCGGGGAAGGAGTGCGACCAGGAAATCGGGATATATACAAGTAAGTATTCAACTTCTTTACGGGTCATTCTACGAATAGAGACCCAAATGGTGTCCCATCATTTTAGTATGTGTTGAGCAATACCTGGTTTATGAAATTTTGAAAATAAATCTGGAATATTGTAGAAGGAGATACTAGATATGCAAACACACCATAAGTACACCCCTGAAAGCAATATTACTTCTAAAAAAATTAACTTCATGGACTTGCTTTGAAATGCCATGTCCCAAGCTGCAATATCAAATTTGTAATATTGAATATGCGTGTGTGAAAACAAGTTTTCTGTAAAAATTTAACCGGTCGAGTTTGCTTAAGTATAATAAAATATTCATTGTTGATTTTAAAAAGATACGGGTTACTACTAAATTTTTTTTTCAAAAATAATCTATTGTTTGTAAAACGGTGTCCCTAATATTTTTGTCATTACCGAAACGGTAAGATTGATTGATTGATTGTATACTGTTTAACGTCCCTCTCCAGAATATTTCACTGATATTGGAGACCGAAACGGTGAGATATAACTGCAAAATATGAGAGATAAGAAAGATAATCCAAAAGAAAAATCCACGTGATTAAAAGTTTCAGAAACCGCCATCTATGATATAAGTCATAACGCTACCCTGTGGGTAATTAAGCAGATAGTGCATTGTAAATGGTATTACTTTCAAGCGTATGTTTATTTAGTGTCATTACCAAATGCTTGCTACAATAAAAGTACGATCACCTAGGAAAAATGCAATTGTTAAGAAAGATATATAGATTTGTTTTGAATTGTGTTGTACATTATATAACCCCTTTAGGTAAGTAGCGCCCTCTATATGCTGTTTAACATTTAAAAATGTCTTTACCGAAACTGTCATTACCGAAACAAATCCCTTGAATCAAATCGTGTCGGTAATGACATCAGTGTTACGGCAATGACAAATCATCTTTATATTGTCTTGTACATGGATTTTAAAACACTATTATAGTGTTTTATGCATTTATAAGAGGTTGTTACAAATAACTCCTATATGTGGGTCCAGTCCTGGGAGGTAGACGGGTCTAACCTACTTCTAATACATGTACACAGTGTTTTGACCAATTGTTCTGTTTAAAAATTAATTTTGCTAAAGCCACAAACTCTTCTCATTCTAAAAGTTATGGCAAACTCGGTTTAATGTTAATTTCTTAAAAAGTACTTCAAGATCAAGGGGTCAAGAATCAAGTACATGTATCTGTTAAACATTTTCCATTAAATACCCTCACAGAATAGGAGATGTTGGACCGGCCGGATGTAATAGGAGATGTTGGACCGGCCCAGAATAGGAGATGTTGGACCGGCAGGATGTATTTCTGCGTCACCTCAAGATTTGGCGAAGTGGATTCGATTCATGGCCTCTGGAGGAAAAACAGTGGATGGATATCAATTAATTCATCCAGATGTTTTCAAGGAAATCATTGAACCACAAATGTTATTGGATGCTTTTTCCAGAAGTCGATTCCGTCTTGACGAGGATTACCCTGTTCAGGCCTCCGGGACCTGGTACGGATACGGGTGGTATGGCGGGTCATATAGAGGTACGTGTGTATATGTCGTATATATTTATTTGCCTTGGGCCCCTGTTTTGTAAAATTCTTCTCTGAATCATATTTGATGTTCTTTGGGCCCTATTTCGTTTATAAATCACCCACAGAGTTATAGTGTGTAGAGCAACCTCGAACAAAACTCTAGGGCGATGGTCACGGTAAATAAAAATTTCTGTTTGAAAGCATATCCGTTTAATTATCTGAAGAATTATAAAGAGTCTATGATTCTTCAGTAACGTTTGTGAGGTTCTAATCAGCCATTTTATTAAGTCATCCGTTCAAGTATAATCAGACCTCTGTTTAAAAAGGTCATCAATTGCTTAAAATCCTTATTAAGTCTAATTTTTTCCTTTGAACTATTTTGCCTACTTTTTTATGTTATATTTCAAATGCCTAATTTGTTTCTAGTTTTATCAATAAAAATTCAGCATGTAAATGAATAAATTTCGATTCTCTTCAACTTGTATGTAGAATTTCTATTGATAATTTTTTTTTATCATTTTCTAGGGTATAAAAAGCTGCTCCATCCCGGGACCTGGTATGGCTACTCCGCTGTGGCTGGATTCTTCCCTGATCAGAATGCTGGATTTGTCATATCTGTCAATGGGCCCTGGTACATGGATTATACAAACTCTCTCGCTCCGTTAACTTATGTACTCTCAGACATTCTTCTGGGTGAAAAACCGTGGCTAGACAACACCACCATGTGCAGTTTCCCCTCTCCATGGAAATCCACAGGAACGTCTGCTACAAACAACAACACAGTGTCCACCCAGACAAGCCGTTTGGACATGAGTCAGTTTACCGGTGACTACGGTCATCGAATCTTTGGAACTTTGAAAATCAGAGAGATAGAATCTCAAAAACTGTCCTTCAAAATGAATTCTGCTGGGATTGGTAATCTCACACGTTTGTCTGATGGCTTAGCAAAATTCGGAATGACGTTCAACGAGCTGTTGAATGACGTGGCAGAGAGCACGTGCAGTCTGCAGTTCTACACTAAATCAGAGGGAAAGTATCAGAAGGTCACGACTACTTGCTTCTATTCTACTTTCGAATACCAAAGAGGAGTTAATTTTCTGAATCCCGAGCCCGACACTAATGCAGCAACAAAATTTATTCAATCCTGGCCCCAATTTCTCCTTTGTTTTATAGCCGTTTGGCTTCTTATTTTATATATTCAATGACAGATGGTACAAACCTGTAAAGAAACAGGATTTATAATTATTTTTGGACCTTTTTTGTTACTTTAAAAATTCTCTAGAATTAAGTTCTTGTAATTCTCAATGCTTTTTAATCTTCTATCCGAAATTTCAAACAAGTCTTTTACAATAGCTTGTTCAATTAAAATCACATTAGTTTGACACTATTACTACCATTAGTGAATGAAAAGCTAAATTAAATTTATTCCTTTCACCTACGTGAATATGACTTAAGTTGTTTTATTATATGATTTTTAATCGTTTTATATCATCATTCCTGAACATGACTAATCTCTAAATAATGTAACACATTTAACAGCATCTTCTAATTTTATCACATTGTTCATCCCAGTTCTTTAAACTATGAACGTATTAATAAATTTTGGCAATCTTGTAGAGAAATTATTTCATTTTTTTAATGTTTTTTGTTTTTTGTTTTTTTTGTTACAGAATATGCATCAGATATACCAAAATTCATTTAAATGAAAAGAAATCTAATCTGTTTTATTTCAGTATTTATTAGTGCTAAATATTCAAAACATCTTTCAAACTTACATATAAATCAAATATCGATGTTTAAATGTTCGGTCATTTCGACCTACTATTAGTTACTTTTTATCCGTTTCTTTTTATTACACGAGACAGAGAGCTTGCGAATGTGTCATTCTCGCGTATGACAGTTTTCCTTAAGATTAGATAGATTCATGAAAAGTTTGTTTTTACCATAAAAAAATTTATTTAAGAGAGTTTAAAAAATTATTTTAAAAGTAAACTTGTTACAATTTACAGCGATAATCAAAATGTGATCCACATTTCTCGAATATGTAGTATGAAACAAGATTTACAAGAATTAGCTGTGAAATTCTATAAAGAATGCTTAATGAATTGTATTTCATTAGAAATGGAGTGGATTCCAAGAACTGAAAACATTTAAGCAGATTATTTTAGTAAAATTTTTGTTTACGATGATTAGTCTATTTCTGTAAATATTTTTTCAATTGTGTGATAAAAAATGGGTCCCATTTACAGTTGATAGATTCGCTGACAATAAAAACCAAAAAAAGTTTTAAAGAAATTCAATTCCAGATTTTGGGTTCCAGATACTTGTTGACTGGTCGTCTGAAAACAACTGGTTAGCACCGCCCATCGGATTAGTATCTAGAGCTTTAAATCATTTAAAGATATGTAAAGCAAAAGGTGTATTGATATAGTATTGTACCAAAGTTAAAGGCGGCATTATACTGGCCTTTGTTGTGGAAGTACGCAGAACAAAAGTATTATGATTTTGTCAAAGATGTCTTAGAGTTGAATCGACCAGAAAAAAAATTAAAGAGCGGTTCAGAAAAAGCAAGTGTGTTGTTCCGGTAAAAAGTATTTGTGATAATTTAATTAATACAGTTATAAAATTGTAGCTGATGGAGAGTTCCTGATTTGAAGCAGCAGCAGTTTTATCCATATGTTCCAGTAATTAAATGTCTAAGGGATTTGAAACTTTAATTTAGATCCACTTAAGTCTCTGAATCATTCATTTATATAAATCTGGGAAGTGGACAAATGTTTCGGAGGTATACATGTAGTAGTTGTGAATTTAAAAAAAGAAAAAGAATGCACTATATATATAAGTTGACCTTTTTGCACTTAAATTATAACTCCTTGGTTATTTACTTAATGGTTGATCTTATTTTATCTGATGTAACGATGGCGAAATATTTAATCTTATATAACATAGAACAGTTTAAGTAACATTTATCATTGAACCAAATTGAAATGCAGTTTGAAATTTGAATTTCAATCCAATGTTTTCTCGATCGTCCGCGTGGTACAAAACGCGGACGGCCGAGAAAACATCCATGTGTATTGCGGACGGCCGAGAAAACATTGGATTGAAATGCAACTTTCAAGAAAGCATTTCAATCCACCTAGGTGATTCTCCGAGGGAAAGTCTTAATCCAGTGGTTCATCAAAAAGGACAGTAGATATTATTTTAATTTCTGTATTATATACATTCAACAACTCTCTTCATGAATGTGTAACTAATCTGTAAAGTCCACTGTGGGCATAATCAGGAAAATATGCCCTCCCCCCTTTCAAATAAATCATAGTCATTTCACTCTTTTCGTGTCACTTGCCTTTATACGATATGTAATACGTGTATATGTACAATGGGTAAGATATAAAAACCTTCTTTTTTAATGTCCTTAAAGCTAATACACTTATTTAATGGAACATTGCCAAGAAAAGGCGTAAAGAATTTCGGTTTCCGGAAGTGGATTGAAATGCAGTTTGAAATTTGAATTTCAATCCAATGTTTTCTCGATCGTCCGCGTGGTATAAAACGCGGACGGCCGAGAAAACATCCATGTGTATTGCGGACGGCCGAGAAAACATTGGATTGAAATGCAACTTTCAAGAAAGCATTTCAATCCACCTAGGTGATTCTCCGAGGGAAAGTCTTAATCCAGTGGTTCATCAAAAAGGACAGTAGATATTATTTTAATTTCTGTATTATATACATTCAACAACTCTCTTCATGAATGTGCAACTAATCTGTAAAGTCCACTGTGGGCATAATCAGGAAAATATGCCCTCCCCCCTTTCAAATAAATCATAGTCATTTCACTCTTTTCGTGTTACTTGCCTCTATACGATATGTTATACGTGTATATGTACAATGGGTAAGATATAAAAACCTTCTTTTTTAATGTCCTTAAAGCTAATACACTTATTTAATGGAACATTGCCAAGAAAAAGGCGTAAAGAATTTCGGTTTCCGGAAGTGGATTGAAATGCAGTTTGAAATTTGAATTTCAATCCAATGTTTTCTCGATCGTCCGCGTGGTATAAAACGCGGACGGCCGAGAAAACATCGGCCTTGTGTATTGCGGACGGCCGAGAAAACATTGGATTGAAATGCAACTTTCAAGAAAGCATTTCAATCCACCTAGGCTATTCTCCAAGAGAAAGTCTTAATCAAATGGTTTATCAAAATGACAGTAGATATTATTTCAATTTCTGTATTATATACATTCAACTTTCTTCATGAATGTTTATATAACTAATCTGTCAAGTCCACTTTGGGTATGATCAGGAAAATATGCCCCCCCCCTCTTCAAGTAAATCATAGCCATTTCACTCTGTTCGTGTTACTTGCCTTTATACGATATGTTATACATGTATATGTACAATGAAACCACGAAATAGGCGATAAAAACCTTCTTTTTTAATGTCGTTGAAGCTAATACACTTATTTAATAAAACATTTCAAAGAAAAGGCGTAAAGAATTTCGGTTTGCGGAAGTGGATTGAAATGCAGTTTGAAATTTGAATTTCAATCCAATGTTTTCTCGGCCGTCCGCGTCGTATGAAACGCGGACGGCCGAGAAAACATTGATGTTTTCTCCGACGTCGGCCTTGAGTGTATTGCGGACGGCCGAGAAAACATTGGATTGAAATGCAACTTTCAAGAAAGCATTTCAATCCACCTAAGTGATTCTCGGAGGGAAAGTCTTAATCCAATGGTTTATCAAAAAGGACAGTAGATATTATTTCAATTTATGTCTCATATACATTCAACTCTTTTCATGAATGTTTATAAAACTAATCTGTAAAGTCCACTTTGGGTATGATCAGGAAAATATGCCCTGCCCCCCCCCCCCCCCCTCTTCAAATAAATCATAGCCATTTCACTCTTTTCGTGTGACTTGCCTTTATACGATATGTTATACATGTATATGTACAATGGAAAAGAAATTTAGGCGATAAAAACCTTCTTTTTTAATGTCCTTAAAGCTAATACACTTATTTAATAAAACATTTGCCAAAGAAAAGGCGTAAAGAATTTCGGTTTCCGGAAGTGGATTGAAATGCAGTTTGAAATTTGAATTTCAATCCAATGTTTTCTCGATCGTCCGCGTGGTATACGGCCGAGAAAACACGCCATATGTATTGCGGACGGCCGAGAAAACATTGGATTGAAATGCAACTTTCAAGAAAGCATTTCAATCCACCTAGGCTATTCTCCAAGGGAAAGTCTTAATCAAGTGGTTTATCAAAATGACAGTAGATATTATTTCAATTTCTGTATTATATACATTCAACTATCTTCATGAATGTTTATATAACTAATCTGTCAAGTCCACTTTGGGTATGATCAGGAAAATATGGCCTCCCCCCCCCCTCTTCAAGTAAATCATAGCCATTTCACTCTGTTCGTGTTACTTGCCTTTATACGATATGTTATACATGTATATGTACAATGAAACCAAGGCGATAAAAACCTTCTTTTTTAATGTCCGTTGAAGCTAATACACTTATTTAATAAAACATTTCAAAGAAAAGGCGTAAAGAATTTCGGTTTGCGGAAGTGGATTGAAATGCAGTTTGAAATTTGAATTTCAATCCAATGTTTTCAATGTTTTCGGCCGTCCGCGTCGTATGAAACGCGGACGGCCGAGAAAACATTGATGTTTTCTCCGACGTCGGCCTTGAGTGTATTGCGGACGGCCGAGAAAACACTGGATTGAAATGCAACTTTCAAGAAAGCATTTCAATCCACCTAGGCTATTCTCCAAGGGAAAGTCTTAATCAAGTGGTTTATCAAAATGACAGTAGATATTATTTCAATTTCTGTATTATATACATTCAACTATCTTCATGAATGTTTATATAACTAATCTGTCAAGTCCACTTTGGGTATGATCAGGAAAATATGCCCCCCCCCCCCTCTTCAAGTAAATCATAGCCATTTCACTCTGTTCGTGTTACTTGCCTTTATACGATATGTTATACATGTATATGTACAATGGGTTTGATATAAAAACCTTCTTTTTTAATGCCGTTAAAGCTAATACACTTATTTAATAGAACAATCCCAAGAAAAGGCGTAAAGAATTTCGGTTTCCGGAAGTGGATTGAAATGCAGTTTGAAATTTGAATTTCAATCCAATGTTTTCTCGATCGTCCGCGTGGTATAAAACGCGGACGGCCGAGAAAA